TCTGCAGGAAGCTCAGCGTTGTGGTACTGTACTTTTGTTATTAGTATAAATTTTTAGCCACTGTTATTCTACATCGAGCACTGGTTCATTATCACCAGCACTTAATGGGCGATACACACACACACACACACACACACACACACACACACACACACACATATATAATAATAATAATAATAATGAATACAGAATCCTTAAAAATCCATTCGGTCAGGTGATGATTTATTTCATAGTTTTACAAAAAGTACAATTTATTCAATCACAAGCAAAAGAAAAAAGAACAAAAAAGGAAGAGAGAGAGACAAGAGAAAAAGGAAAAAAAGTTTTAATAATATAAAAAGAAAAGAGTGACAGATTTCAATATAAGGTTTCTAAGGGGGAGAGAAAGAGAGACAGGCATGTGGAGGGGACGCGAAAGAGAGGGAAAGGGGGGAGGAAAGAAAGGAGTTAAGCCGGTCGAAAGGGTGACCGAGAAAATATTTTTGACAAGTTCAAATATAGGGTGGAGGAAGAGAGTGATCATATTCAAAATAGATGCATTGAAATTGTCTGGTTATTTTAAGCAGCGAAACCATCATCATTGCATTATAAACGTCACAATAACAAATTATAACAATAATATTACTAATGTTATTAAAATATTTGACATCAATATAAAGAAATAACATCAATTTAAAAAAGAAATTCGTTAAAAAATATTATAAAATTAAAAAAAATCAAAAACATTTCGATAAAATTAACAAAGAGATAAGTAAGGGGCCATTTTAAGTAACTAAAACTTAAAAATGCAAAGACTCTATATATATATATATATATATATATATATATATATATATATGCACACATACATACATACCCACATAGATATATGCATATGCACATACATACACATACACTCATATATACACATACACACATCCATACATAAACATATATAAATACCCTTACACACATACATATAAATAAATGTCGGTAATAAAAATAATAATAAAAATAATGATAATAAAATTAAATTAAGATTATAGATAAAGAAAATAAAATTAATTCATAATTTAAGATTATAATCGATGTAGTCAAGAAAACCATATAAACGATCATATATATCACACACACACACACACATATATATATATATATATATATATATATAATACTGTGAATGCATGTTATGTATGTATATATATATATATATATATATATATATGAATGCATGTTATATATATATATATATATATATATATATATATATATATATATATATATATATATCAAACCTCTGAACTTCTGGGTTGAGGGATTTATCATTATTTAGACTATTTACCTTTGGACAATTGAAACCCTTTATTTAATTTACCAGGGCAGATTGTTCTCATTCCACTACCTATGTCTATGGATGAGATCAACAATCAGAATGTAAATAGTATATATATATATATATATATATATATATATATATATATATATATATATATCAGGGTGCGATGGATACATTGTCGTCTAAATTACGCAAAAATGAGAGTAACACAGACATCTCATTTTAATAGATATATTTACCAAAAAATCAATTTATTCAATAAAATCGTCATTGGATTCAACCACAACCTCTAGACGACTTTAGAACCTCCTGCTACTCTTCTCTATGCTCGACTTGTTTAAGTTGGTGAATGCTGCCGTAATCCTTGCTTTAAGTTCATCTTCAGTGTTACAAGGAGTTTTGTTGGACTCTCGGTCAACTGTACCCCACGCGTAAAGAGGATTACAGTCTGGGGAATTAGGTGGCCATATGTAAAGTGTAGTGTGGTCGCAGAAATTATCTGACAGTCATGACTGGGTATTGCTGCTTGTGTAACATGTCGCAGAGACAAGTTAGCAGATATAGGTTTTCCAGCAGCCACCCACTTGACCTACGACAGCACTACTTCTTCACCTCTTTACGGCACTTGATGTAAGCCTCTGTGTTGAGTCAGGATCTGTGGGAAGATGAATAGAGGCATAACATCACCATCACTAGAGATCACCCCCAAAATCTATATAATCAGCATTAGACTCATCCAACTCTTTCTGAATCTTCTGCACTGTCTTCAGATTGACACCAAATACTCTGAAATGTTCATATTGGAGTTTCCGGTGTGAAGGCCAAGCAGTACAGCATGCCGTTTCCAAATTCCTTGTGGAGTGAATTGCGTCATGGTGCACTTTTCTCGTAGACGTTGCCCAACTGACCCTACCATACTGTCCCTATTCTGTCATCCATTTACACAAGATTGTTAGGTAGGTTACTCACTGTTTCACTCTACTCCTCGTGTCTTCAATATGTCCTGTGAGTGTCAAATTCTCCAAGCCCCTTATTATTAATCCCTCTCCCATTCCTGACATCCATTTACACAAGCTTGTTAGGTAGGTTACTCACTGTTTCCTCGTGTCTTAAATATGTCCTGTGAGTGTCAAATTCTCCAAGCACTTTATTATCAATCCCAGTCCCTGTTCTGCCATCCATTTA